GATATTGTTTAGTACCGTTGCTGGGCGGGGGGGGAACATGGGTGAATCGGCGGTGTCGCAAACGTACTTGACGGGGGAGTTCTTGAAGGGCGAAGCGTTCATCGACCCGGAGGTCGCTCTGACGCTGCCGGCGCGCGGTACGTTAGCCACTCGAGGCATTTTGTGTTGTCGGCGATGAGGCTGTCGTCCGGCGGTGTTGGATGTTGGATTTGTTTGCGATGTGCGTCGGTAGCCCAGTTCCCGACACCAATGTTTACTTTCCCCACTTGGACACGCCCCCAACGACGACGCGAAACAACAATAAAGAGGTGGTGCCTGAAATCTTAGGTGTCAGATTTACCGTTTCGGGACGGGACAAGGCGGGGAGCTGAAAGCCCGGGCCCGAGCGGTTTCGTCCCAACTGCCAACGTTTCCTTGGTTGCTGCCGCCCCCCCTCCAACCCCCCTTGGCTTTGTTATCTTCACGTGACGCAATGATGCTCTCTGCCGAGCCCAATTGGAACCGCTCTCTTACACTTGCCGTTGCAACACGCCCTCCTCTCTTAAAGTTGCCTCTCCAAAGAAACATAGCCACGTTGGAGGGGGATTTACCACGCATGTCCTCGGCTCTATCAGAGCATCGGCCTTGCGTAGACCAGCAAATCTTGGCCAAGAACTTGCGACATAGCCGTTTCCTTAAGACCTTGGGCAGGTTTTCCCGGGCTGCCTCCCAGAGTCTCCATGAATCGTACATGAAGGCGAGAAGCGCATGCATCTTCTCGCCCTGCCCTGCGGCTCACCTCACACCCGCTAGCAGCCTTTCCTGCGTATCCTATTTTTTGCATATCGACTCGACTCAGCGACACCCGTTCGTTCCTCATCCGCGCACCGCAGCGGAACGAGCGGCATCACCAGGCACGCGCCCGCGACAAGTCTTCTGCCATGGCTTCCTATGAGCCAATTATCTTCCACATTTGACGTCAGCATGCCAGCTACCTCTAAGATTAGGGGGAGCGGCCTTCGCTTGCGGCCATTCTATACGACAGTCTTTCTTCTCACCCTGCTCGCGACATGGTCATTCTTTACCAAGGCCACGGAACGACACTTCGCCCCGCAGCATGTCGACGCCTCGTCTCCGCTCCTGAGAAGGAACGAGCTGACGGAATGCCGGGATGTTCACCGCGCTGAGGATCAGTGTGCCTTCGTCAAGGCTCACTGCGCCGAGGACGAGGCTGGCTTGCTCTCATATCTCACCCTGTACTACTGCAATCTAGGCAAGGCTCAGCCAGTCGCTTTCGCCATACTCGTCTGCTGGCTCGGCCTGCTCTTCACCACCATTGGCATCGCCGCCAGCGACTTTTTCAGCGTGAATCTCAACACCATCTCTACGATCCTTGGCCTTAGCGAAAGCTTAGCGGGTGTTACCTTCCTTGCCTTCGGAAATGGATCCCCGGATGTCTTCAGCACCTTTGCAGCCATGGGCTCCAACAGCGCCAGCATGGCTGTAGGCGAGCTGATCGGCGCTGCAAGCTTTATCACCGCCGTCGTCGCCGGTTCCATGGCCTTGGTTCGGGAGTTTAAAGTGGGGAGACAGACCTACGTCCGAGATTTATGCTTCTTCATCGTGGCCGTCTGCTTCACCATGGTGTTCCTGGCTGACGGGCACCTGCACCTATGGGAGTGCATAACCATGGTCTGCTATTACATCTTCTACGTGGTCTTCGTTGTCACATGGCATTACTACTCGAAAAGGCGGAGCCAGCGGCGGGTCCGGGAAGCAGCCGCACGAGGTCATGTCTACGGAGCAGTGGGGCATCCATACGATGAACTGGCACCGGAGCCGTACCGGGATGATCCCGACGACGAGGATCGTCAAGTTACGTCCGCCAGCGCCTCCAATGCCGGTGATATCAGTGCACTAGAGGCTGGGCCGCGAATTGAGGTCGAAGGTCAGGACGAGGGCGATGACGAGGTTGAGGAGAGCGATCATGGCAGGCACGTCGTGGCGGAGATGGCGAGCAACATGCGTGTTCTCCGTCCCCGAGGCCGCAGACGCAACACTCTTACTCCGATTCGTCCCAGTTTGGTCGGCGCCCTGGAGTTTCGATCAGCTTTGGCTCAACTGCAGAGGGAGAGCAACTTGAGGATGCGACCGATGCACGGGCGAGCATACTCAGTTAATAACATTCGAAGCAACAGCGAATCAGGCACTGTTATGGGGCCACCTTCAGATTCGGGCAGATACACCATCAGCGGCGGCGAAGGTCTCGGCCAGAGTAGGAATAGGGCCTTGTCCTCTGGAAATGTTCCCGGCTCACTGGTTTCTACCCGCCAACCCAGTCGCGATCACTCTCCTTGGCGCTTCCCTCCTCAAGGCTCAGCGAACCCGATCCAACAGGTAAAAGCCCAGGAAGCCAGGAATCGAAGTCCATCCCCTGCATACAAGATTGGTGGCAATCTGGCGCCTCCTCCGTTGGACGCGGCGCCCCCACGACAAGACACTGGCGGCAGCGATTCTCTTGACCCCAGACCATTCGGCCAGCTTTCCCTCCAGATTCCAACAAGCAGACGTACAAGTTTCAGCACCTCTTCGCCAGCATCCCCCTTCCCCGGGTACACTGAATCTCCAATGGTGTTAACGCCAGCAGCCCAACCCGATCCGCCCGAATTCATATTGCCTCCTGGACCAGCTCGCATGGAGATGCCCTTCGCGCCCTACGAGGTGATCGAACCGAAGCCGGTGAGATGGTGGCCATATGCTATCTTGCCGCCCCCTCACATCTTCTGGAGAACATTGTTTCCTACACTCCTAGGATGGCAGCAGAAGAGTCACTGGGACAGATTCGTCAGTGCCATATCGGTGCCGAGCATTTTGCTACTCGTTCTCACCCTCCCGGTCGTTGAGAGTGAAAGTCCAGACGACTTGTCTGACGATACCATGGTGGACCCCATGATCGGCTTGGACACCACTGGCGATGGATCTGTAACATTGCCTGAGGGCGAGCCCATCGAACAAGAGTCGGAATGGCAACGCTTTAGAAGAGCCACCCTGACGCATTCTCGCATGCCGTCTCTCGAGCGCACCTATTCTCCCAAGGGTTCTCCAGCGTTGATTGCCATCGATGATCCGAGCGGTGCGCGTGTCGCTGAGGCACCCACGAGCCACCCACAACACGTCAAGCCGGCGGCACCTCTACCCTCTGAGAGTAGCATCGCTGTTGACGACTCGGGTCAGTGGAATCGGTGGCTTGTCGCTATCCAAATCTTCACGGGCCCCTTGTTTGCAGTGGTCATCCTGTGGGCCAACATGTTTGAGGACTTCCAGCACCCATACAGAGTGCTGGCCAGGTTCATTCTCTATACCCTGCTGGCATCTACCATACTTCTTGGCCTGCTACTCATGACGACAAGCCCTGACAAGAAACCCAAGTTCCATTTCCTTTTATGCTTCATGGGGTTCATCATTGCTATAGCTTGGATCTCGACCATTGCGGGAGAGGTTGTCGGTGTTTTGAAAGCTGTCGGAGTCATTCTGGGAATCTCGGAGGCTCTTCTCGGGTTGACCATCTTTGCTGCGGGCAACAGTGTTGGCGATCTCATCGCCGACATCACCGTTGCCCGCCTTGGCTACCCTGTGATGGCTCTGTAAGTTGCAACGTTACCTTTCGACGCATACAGTTTACTAACAGCAACGTAGTTCCGCATGCTTCGGCGGCCCCATGCTCAACATTCTCCTCGGTATCGGTATTGGCGGCGTCTATATGATGGTCCAGGCCGCCAAACATCGGCACAAGAAGCATCCTGACAAACCCTTCAAGTATCACTCATACGAAATTCAAATCGGAGGCACCCTGATGATATCAGCCATCACGCTCCTCCTCACCCTCTTGGGTCTCCTACTCATCGTTCCGATGAACAAGTGGATCATGTCACGCAAGATCGGCTGGGGCCTGATTGCGATTTGGACAGTCAGCACCATCGTCAACGTCGTCATCGAAGTGACGGGGGTGTGGACTGACGTGTCCTATTCTCTCAGTTTCTAATACGTCCGTTTTTTTCAAAGCACATACACACAGACTGTATCAGTATTCGACGAGTACATTCTACACAAACAAGTTAGCATACCCCGGCATAGCGTGCGACGAGAAACAAAGCGATTTGCGACTTTCAGGTTATATTTTCGATTGCGTGTACAGTCATTACAGAGTTCAAATGGGAAGAAACGACTGGCTACGAAGGACAACCTTACACTCTACACATATACAATAGTAGTTTATAAAAGCATATTACAAGTTCACGTTGAGATTGACAGCAAACAATAGTAACGTTGCTGTCGGTTATCTTTCCTCGTCATTGGTCGTCTTAAGAGAGGCGACGACGCGCTGTCTCCTCAAGCGACACCGATCGAAGCGCCGACGTTCCTGGATTGTTGTTCCTGATGCCAGGCACGGTCCCACGTCGTACATTGTAAATCACCATCTGATGTGTTCTCCCGTGCGCCCGTGCTCTCTTCCTACGGGAGGCAACTACTGTCGACCTCGAAACCCGCGTGGCTTCAATTGGACGAACGGCGATCCTTTTCTCTCTTCGTTGCCAAGGATTTCGTCTGGTAGTTGTGTGTTTTCAGCTGGCTGTATGTGCTCTCTTCGCCAAGAGATCCATCTGTTTTGGTTGCCTCAGCTGGGCTGTGTGTTGTTGTGATGCCAAGAAGGACGTGGGAAGTTGTGATGCCAAGAAAGGTCGTGGACGCACGTCGGCCAGGGCTGATGCGTTTTGACGTGTTGCATGTGTTCGGCGGAATCAGGGGAGACTGCGTTTTCGGGTCTCTGGGCTTTCGTGTCAACATACAAGCGGGCATAAAAGTTGGGGACTGAATGGCAAGTATAAAAGCGCCGCATCAGACACCTTCTTATCGACCCTGCCCTTTCGAATCTAGTTCACACACGTTATCATCACACTATCTCTTAAGCATTCACATAGAGCACTTTCGAACATCCTGTTCTTCAGTTCAACTTATCCAACATGGGCTTCAACACAATCCTCAACACTGCCAAGCAGCTTGCTAGCAACGACGAAGCTAAGGACCAGCAGAGCTCGTCCCAGACTTCTGACCAGCAAGGCTGGGACAAGGTCGGCGACGACGCCAAGAAGGCCTTTGCGAACTATCAAGCCGACCAAGCTCAAGGCAAGGGTCCCGATTACAAGGAGATTGGGGGCGTTGCGTCGGCTGCGTACTCTGCGTACAATCGCGGAGCCGATGCAGGGGATCTCGATGAGAAGCAGAAGGAACAGCTGGGAAAGGATGTCGTTGCCGGGTACTCTGGCAGGAAGAAGGAGGCGTTGAAGTCCGGGGAGGAGGGTGTCGATGGGACTCAGGAGGGCTGTGAGTGTGAAGGCCACGATGATGAGAAGTCGAAGAAGTTGGATGAAGAGTTAGGGGGCGAGAGTGAAGATGTGGTAGTTGGGGAGAAGAAGAAACTGCGGGAAGGTGGGTTCTTGCAGGGAAAGGTTGACACCACCACGGAGGATATCGCTGCCCAGGATGCTCGTGGTGAGTACACTGATCCATCAAAGGAAGCCCTCGAGGCTTTGTCCTCCAGTACCGCGGCACGATCTGGCGGGAAAAATGAAGTCTCTGCTTCCCGGGCAGATTACACTGGTGAGAAAACACCTCGTCGCTCGCAAATGTTGAACTCAGAACGCTTACACCGGTTCAAGCAGGATCTACTGATGCAACATCCGGCGAGACTGGGGACCTCAGCGACTACACCACACTCGGGGTAAGAGATGATTCAAGACAACCTAGATCCCAATGCACAAGCTAATGGTCTGGCTCCAGAGGACGACACGCTCGGGACGCGGCATCGTAAGTGACCGCGAAGAATAAGCTAGCGGAACAAGCCTGGCCATGGATACATGAGGATCGCGACGGGAATGCTTTACCTATGTAGCTTCAAAACAATACAGTCGTTTCCGATTCATAGCTCGATGGTTGATAAGGATGATAGTGACCTTAGCTCGCAGCCTGTTTTAAACGGTGACCTACTTAGTACGGTTTCCTCACACCGTGGTCAACAGCGACCGAGGGAGTCAATGGCTCAGCTGGTCAGGTCTGGCCAAGTGCTTGCGCCCTGATGTCCCTTGCCCTCTGTTCGCTGGGATTATAATATTGTTATGGGTTCAAACCCTGTCTTTTGCCATCTGTAATTTTCTTAACCTTTCTTTCACCTTCTTTTACGTCTTACCCTCCTCCCTCCTTCATCTACCCAACAAACTTTCCTCCAGATGTCACTAATATTTGCTGTTGATCACCAGAACCCGAGATGTAACTTGCAGCCAAAAGTCACGCTTCTTTTGATTTATTTAAAAAAGAGAAAAATAATGTTTGAGACACTTCCGGCTGGCAGGACACTGCAAGAGCATTTTCTGGCTCAACTCTTGCATGTTTCTCTAGCCGGGGGAGAATCATCAAACCATACCCAGTCTGAGAAATGGCATGGGCAGGTACAGTTTCGGATGGCGAGCTTTTGGCCGCTTAAGCAGGACTTCCTGGCCTGAAAAGAGATAGTCTAGTTTTTTCTGTGTCTTCGCGACTATGTTTCCTTCCTATCGGATTTTGAAGTCATATTTCGATCCAGGGCGATAGCATTGCCAAAGACTGCAACGGCCAATTTATCCCTAGATTTTGACCACAACATCACCAAGTCTGGTCGTCGAGGCAATACAATGAAAGACAATGACACGGGACAACACTCACCCAAGCATTGATGAGCAAGTCGTAGCCTGTAGATTGCTCGGTCTCATGGATGGTACTTAGATCACGCGCAAGGAGGAAAAGCCGAAGATTTGCCGGGCAGCCATGCAACGCCAATTCACGTGAAGTCGAGGTTGACGTGCTGACTAAGGCAGAACGCGACTAACACGCTAGCTAAAGTGGGTGGGGGGCCAAACGCGGTTGACACCCGCAGTGCAGAGCTCGGCGTAAACACCACGACCAACCTTGTAGACGACTGCCAAAGAGCCTCATTTGCGCCTCAAAATACCTCTCCGATGACGCCTAGCAACCCCCAGGTGTTTCCCTCGTCGTCGAATAAATGACTCGAAATAACCTCGGGGATCAACTCTCCTGGCTGCTCGGCAATATCTCTATCTGCAAACCCACCGATCTTTCCCTTCCGCCGGCTCGCGATCCTTCAGGCACTGATCCGTCACAATCACAACAATCCCGTTTTGGGGGCTTTGGATCCCAGCAGGAGCTTCCAAGTCGACCCGTGTCACAATCGGACTTTGGCCGTACGAATGCGAGACCGACATTACATGCCTCCAACGCGGTGGAACAGACGACGCAGGATTCTAGGGTGGCGATAACGGCAGAGGCTGGCTCTATGGCGAAACTGACCTCAGCCTCGAAGACTAGGAAGCCTTCTTTGGCTGTGAAACAGCAGCAGCAGCAATTGCTGACGCCATCCTCAACCACCAGCGGTGGGCGTTTCCAACAAGCTATCACTGCCCAACTTCAGCAACAAGGTGGGCTATCTGTGCATGACGATTGCCAAAACGCACCTGCTAACGAACTGGAGATGCAGAAAGTACACGAAACAATCGAGTGGCTCCTTCATCATCCCAAGACAGACGCCATAAGCCGGTGCCTGTGTCAACACCAGACCTACTTGACGATGACGACGAAATCCTGGACCTGACTGGTAACGATACGATCTTGTCGTCAGATTCGGTTGCATTCGATGAAGGAGTCACGGTATGGAACGAAGCGCAGGCCTCGAGGCCGGAACCGCTGTCGAAGCGCGGCCAGAAGAGAAAGAGTACGGAGATGAGCAAGACAGGAGACTTGGATTCAGACTCGGACGAGTTTCCAGATATTTACAAGACGCTGGGCACCCCAGCCCCAAAGAGCAGTCGAGCGGCTAAGAGCACCAAAACAATACCATCGAGCATCCGCAGGGCGAATACAGACAAGGGCATGGTGGAAGAGCGGACTATCACACAAACAATCAGCCGAACCCAGCGCACGTACAAGATGGCCGATGATCCTCAAGAACGGGGGACGCCACGTCGGCTCCCAATGGCTGTTGGTGGCCAGAGTGCCATCGGACGCACTCCGAGCAAGGCCGTCCGGATTTCTTCTAGCCCAGAGTCGAATCAACGGGCGAAATCGGCAGGTTTACAGTCGACTCAACAACGTCCTCGGCCTCGGGTAATACAGGATTCAGATGACGAGTTCGATGACGGGGATTTTGACGCCGAGCTTCTGGCCACACCGAGTCGAAGTAACTTTATGCCAGCCTCTGCGGCTCGCTCCAGACCGGCATCTGTTCCCTTTGGAGGTGCAGATTCATCAGACGAGCTCGTTGCGCCTGATACCCCTTCGAGGCCGCAGCCAGCGACGTTGCTGCCGGATGATTCCCTAATGAGCTTCGAGGTAGACCCTGTCCAAGATGACTCAACGAATACACTATCACAGCCGACGCCCTCTTCGCAAGGGAAAAGGTCCACGGTACTTAAGTTCATCTTGGACAACCCAGATGCCATGAAGGCAAAGGAGACGATGATCCAGGAGAAGCTCGTGCACAACTCCGAAACCTTCCGGAACGTCTTGATGGATGGCTCAAGGGAAGACCGCAATAAACATAAAGCCGAGAAAGAGTTGTTGATGTCACAGCAATCTTGCCTCAAGAAAGCATACGAACTCCTCAAGTCCCACGCGAAACTTCAAGGCGAGAAAGAGGTGCTTGTACAACAAATCGCCACGGCCTACGGTGACGGTGGCGACACTGAGCAGGACGAGATTCGTTTGGATGAAGTGTCAGACAAAGTTAGGGCTTTGGAGCAATCCATCGAGCGACATCTTCCTAGTGTGGGCATCGACGGCGATTCTTTCATCGACGACTACCGCAGGTCTAAGGCTATTGTAATGAGCACCCAACCTAGCCACAAGACCCCGGCCAGAGCGTTGAGATCTGCACAGGCAGTCGAGGAGAATGACAACCAAGTCATTCATCAGACACAATTCCCCGGATCGTCGAGAATAACCGACCCCAGAGATCGGTCTCCGCCGCCGTTCCCACGGTCCAAACCCCCCATGCCCAAGAGCGCCAAGAAATCAGCCCCTCCGATTGCGAAAGCCAGTCGACGAGATGATTTCGAAGACAACTACCTGGATGATATTGAAGATGACTTCGGCGCATTTGATCCGGAGCCGCCGATCTCTAGGCCGTTGCCAAGCCGCAGAAGCCCTGTCAAAGCATCGCGCCCTCGCGCCATGGATATGTCCAGTGATTACGGCGATGATGCGGACGCAGACATGCTTGCGCTCGCGCAAGACTTTGAATCGCGTCACTCGTCTTCTGCGGAAACGGCTTCCAAGAGGAGAAGCGTCCTTACTGCAACGTCAGGTAATCTCGCTCAGCCTCCCAAATCCACTGAACCCTTGAAGAAGAGGGAAGTGTCTAAAGCAAAATTGTCGATACCACCCGAGTTGATGAAACATCCCTGGTCCCCGGATGTCAGAAGGGCTTTGAAGGACAGATTCAGGATGAGAGGGTTCCGACCTAATCAACTTGAAGCTATCAATGCCACTCTAGCCGGCAAGGATGCCTTTGTGCTAATGCCGACTGGTGGAGGAAAATCACTCTGTTATCAACTGCCGGCAATCATCAACAGCGGGAAGACCCGGGGTATCACGATTGTTGTTTCACCTCTGCTCAGTCTGATGCAAGATCAGGTCGATCACATGTCTGCGCTAAACATCCAGGCGGTCTCTCTCAACGGAGAAACAACTTCTCAAAAGCGGAACCAAATCTTCTCGTCCTTCAAGGAGAGAAGCCCTGAGTTGTTCGTTCAGTTACTCTACGTCACGCCTGAGATGCTGAACAATAGTCCCTCCTTCATGAAGGCCTTGACAACGCTCCACTCAGGCAAACGACTTGCTCGTATAGTCATTGACGAGGCGCATTGTGTCAGTCAATGGGGCCATGATTTCCGGCCAGACTACAAGGCTTTGGGCAAGCTACGGAATCACTTTCCCACCGTACCTATTATTGCGCTCACAGCAACGGCAACCCAGAACGTCATTGTTGACATCAAACATAACCTGGGCATGGATAATTGCGAGGTGTTCTGTCAGAGTTTCAACAGGCCGAACCTTACGTATGAAGTCCGCCGGAAGGAGAGGGAGCTGGTGCACAAAATCGCCGACCTCATTCAGTCAAAGTACGACCAGCAATGCGGTATTATCTATACGCTATCGAGGAAGACATCTGAACAGGTGGCTGAGAAGCTACGAGACAAGTACGGCATTTTAGCCCATCACTACCACGCACAGATGTCACCCGAGGATCGGATTGATGTTCAAAGGCAATGGCAGAAGGACAGAATCCATGTCGTTGTGGCGACAATTGCCTTTGGCATGGGGATTGATAAACCAGACGTTCGCTTCGTTATTCATCATTCGGTACCCAAGAGCTTGGAAGGCTACTACCAAGAAACGGGGCGAGCTGGCAGAGACGGCAACCCATCCGATTGCATTCTGTATTTTGGATATCAAGATGTCGTCACCTTGAGGAAGATGATCGCGGATGGTGATGGCAATGAGGACCAAAAAGAGCGGCAGAGAACGATGCTCAACCGGGTCACGGCGTTCTGCGACAATCGGGAGAACTGCCGCCGTGTCGAAATCCTTCGATACTTTGGCGAGGTATTCAACGGAGACGAGTGTAACAAGACGTGCGACAACTGTCGAGCGGGGGCTGTTTTTGAGCAGCAGGACTTCTCCGACAAGGCTGTTGGCGCTATTCAGACCATCAGAAACCACGAAAAATTAACGGTCAATCAGTGCCGTGAGATTCTCTTGGGAAAGAAATACCCCCCGAACATAAACGAGGACCCAGACGACGCCCACGGGATAGCTCGGGGGATGAAACAGCATGAAGTCGAGCGCATTCTCGACAGACTTACTGCTGAGGAAGCACTTGAGGAGACAAACGTGGTGAACAAGCGGGCTGGTATTGCCATCCCGTACCTCATCGTATGTTACTTTATCTAATTCACTCACTACAATCGTGACTAACATGGTGCTAGGTTGGTCGTAATGCGCATATGTTTCTGTCTGGGCGCCGCAAGCTGTTGCTGTCGGTTCAGGTTTCTGATAGGGGTAGGGAATCCTCGGCTCCAAAGCCGAAAAAGCGAACAAAGAAGAGCAAAGAGGCCGATGATGCAGACACAGGCGCAGGGCCTTCTAGACATGTCCCACCCTCGACTAATGTGTCTTCGCCTGCTCAGGCAAGAATTCAGAATAAGAAGAAGGGCAAGTCCATGGCAACCATCTTCGATACGGACGAAGAGGAAGAGATGCTACTGCAACAAATGGAGGAGCAGGACTTGTCTTTGCACTCAAACGGCTACGCAAAGGATGGCTTTGTCATGTCGGATGATGAAGACGACGCGTTCGAGCCTCTGCCAAAGTCTCGCAACAGAAGTCACGCTTCTCGCGATGTTGGTCCTCGCATAGAGGCAGACAGTCGGTTGGGAGATCTTGATGAACTGCATCAAGACGTGGTCCACAACTTTGTGCAGGAGGCGAAGAAGCTCGAAGAGCAGCTGCGCAACGCGCAAAGTCTCCGAAAGCCGCTGTTCTCTGAGCGAAGCTTCCAAGAAATGGCTATTCGCTGGACAACAACACTGCCGCAAATGCGCAAAATACCAGGCATCGAGATTGAGAAAGTTGACAAGTTCGGGACTAAGTTTATTCCTATGGTCAAGCGTTGCCGAGACAACTACAATTCCATGATAGGGGCGATGGACGAAGCTGATCAGATGGACGCCGGTGATCAGCACATCGTTGACTTGATCAGCTCTGATGAAGACATGGACGAGGACATGGAAGATGACGACGATGAGGAGGAAGAGGAGGCTTCTAAGTATTTCAATGGCCCGCCACCACCGCTGAGACCAGAGGTGGAAGCGTGGAATGAACAAATGAGAGTGAACGAGCTCGAGACAGCGCCGCCGACACGAGGATCATCAGGCACACGAGGCCGTGGTGGCGCGCGCGGTGGGAAGAAGCCATACCGCAGAGCTTCTGGCGGAGGGTACAAGAAGGGAGGGGTGACCAAACGGAAGGCCTCAGGCGGGGCCAGCAGAAGGAGTAGCGGCGGGACGACGGCTTCCAGCTCCAGGAATTCGACCGTCACGCACTTCTTCCCTAGAGGCGGCAAGAGAGGTGGCGGCAGCGGTGGAAGGAGCGGTGGTGGCGGCAGCATCGGACTAATGCCGCATTAAGTCGAGAGAGAGAGAGAGAGAGAGGAAAAGGGGTATATGATGTGCACACGTCTGATACGAACAGAACTGGCGACGACGGGAAACTATTACACTGTATTACATGGCATGGTCACGAAGCGGCAGAAGGAGGGAGTGAACAAAGGAAGAAACTTGATCGGTCTGCATATTTTATATTCATGGCGGCGGAGTGGGCGATTATCAAGCATGATATCGGTTCGCGCGGGTTAGGCGTCGGACCGGTTTTGGCAGGGCATCTTCTTCCGGCGCAGCGTAGGCACATCTGGCATTTTAATGTTGACAATGACCAACCATTTCCTCCCTCCTTGGGATGATGTTATTTCTATACTTGAGCCCTTGTCTCGTCTAAAGTGTCTAAGAAGTTCACCCCCAAAAAGACGCGAGTAATAAGCCATCACCGGGGAGAATGTGGTGCTACGTTGCGATTCATTCGGCCTGTCATCTTCATTTTAGGGTATGCGAATGATCAATTTACGTCTTCGGCCTGCCAATCTAGCCACGTCCTCCCCCCGCTGTGATGCCTCTCCACCTGCGATTGCCAGATATATTCCAGCCAAGTTCACTTTAGTTGCCGCAAGTCTGGTCGGGGGTTCCAACACATCGATCGCAGCAAACGAAAATAATCGATTCTCTTTTTCTTTTTTCTTAACCCCAATGGTGGTTTGCAGTAGCGTATGGTTGAGCGATTTCGTACCCCTCGTTGACCGGACATGACGGTGCGCGTCTTGACCTGCAACGGGGTTTGCTTCTTCCCATTCATCCACAGATGGCCCGGTCTGGAGGCCATTTGTGCCCCCAAAATACACCATTGACCAGACTCCAGCCCACCTTCCGGGTATAATGCCAACACTCCAAAAAAAAAAAAAACAGATAAATAAATCAAGACCGCCGGAGAGGCTTTTTCCCGCTCCTGAAAACACGCCATCCGACGGTTCCTAACCCGACGCCATGCCGCAAAGCAATAGAAGTAAAAGTCGTCCAAATGGCCCTGCCGTGAGCCATTTGGAGCGTAGTCGAATATGTACAAAGTTGGTATCGAGTCGTAACGATGTGTTCAGGCGACATCTGTCGAGGCCTCCTCATCAAACTACTTGGGGGCCTCGTGCATTTCCGTTGTGAATGATCAAGTATCAAGTCCGCCAGCGGGGCTTGCTCATCACGTTGGCACCCGCACCACTGGGAGCTGCTGGCGAGCTGACAGTCCTCCTCTTGTGCCCAACGAAAGACTCCTAGCCCCTCCATCTGGGTTTGCTGCTCGCAGCGGAAGTGCTGCCGGACAGCTCGGGTAGAGTCTTGCGGGTAGCCCCACGAGGCGTGATGCCCAACGAGGTTTCTCTGCCATTTGAGCTTGGCCCTCTAGGCTGTGGCAGCAAGCTGGTTCGTCGAGTGGTAGCTAGAGAGCTGGCTGGACGACTTGGTGTCCTATCGTCAGCGGTCAAATAGGTCCTGGGAGGCTGCAAAGATGCACGTCGAGTAGATTGAGATTCCAGGCCAGAGGTAGACAAAGACGAGGACAAGCGCGGTTTCGACAGCGTGCGCTGTGAGTAAGGGCCAGGAGAGGCAAGACGTTCGCGGAACGAGAGCTTGGAAGTGGCCCTCTTCGTCGGCGTGTCTTCGGGCATGGGCGAAGCTGATGATTCTCGCCCGAGCGGACCACGAATAGATGGCAACCTACTACCACCGGGTGACGAAGACCGTGGGGTCAGGGACGAGGGCGGGCGAGGGACAGGTGATGTCTTCTTAGCGTAGGGGCTGGGTGACGTGAGACTAAGGGGTTTGAAGTTGTGGCCAATGCCGACATCTGCTGTGTTCGTGGACCCATTCCACCGAGGGCGATTTGGCAAAGTCGACTGAGCGCGGGGAATACTGCCAGCATTGCTAGCCGATGGCGTACCCAGTCGTGAAGTCATGTTTGACAGACGAGAGGTCAGAGTCTTCCGAGAAGATGGGGTCGGCAACGAGGATTGTCTTCGCCCCGAAGGCTGCGGCAGGTTGCTGCTGCTCGCCGAACGATTCCTGATCTTGGGTGTGGGTGTCATTGGCTCGAAGCCAAGGCTAGACATGATGACTGATGAAGGGGGCGAACTGCCCGGAGTCTCGCGTCCACTGCCTATAGTTGAGCGATCGTTCGACAACATGCTCGAGATGGAGTCTCTCAACTGCTGGCCGCGGTTGTCCGCTTGCACCTCATCAACCACCACATCCATCTCTCTCATCTCGTCCTTGATTGACTCCCACTTGGATTGCATTTCGGCGTGCAGTCTGAGAATCTCGCCGTTCACCGTCAGTCGATCCTTAACACCCTTGTCAATGATGGCCAAGACACGCTCAATAGCAGGACCATAATGTGTCTTCTTGGCGTCGTAACCCTCAATCTTCTTGCTCATCGCAGGGGGGTTGCTCAAATGCATGCCAGTGTCAATGGCCTCTCTCAACTTGATCATCGATCTTTCGACGGATTCAATCATCTTCTGCGCCTGCCGTCCGGCGCCACGGAAAACGAGTACCCAGCGATCTTCTCCCAGCTCCTTGCGTAAAGACTCGGCATCCTTCTCTAACTTCTTGTAGCTGCCGTCGAGACCTTCACGTCGCATCTCCAGCTCCTCACAGGCTGTAGGAAACGACTTTTCAGCTCTTGCAGCGAAGACCGCGAGTCTCATGGGGAGGAAATCGAGTGATGCGCGCAAGGGTTGCATCCGGGCGAACAGAGCCAACAGGCTTGAATCATCCTGCGACAGCGTAGGTGTCCCTGGCGACGTCGACCCAGGGCTGAGAGCCAGGCCTGGTAGGGAGAATCGGTTCTGGGCTTGCACCTTGGGTGGCGGTGCCGGCGCCGGCGTGTCGTCAACGATGTTTTCAAGATCCCCTATGTCAACGCCGTCGCCAGAGGTAGCCGCGATGAGCGATTTGTGCCGGCGTTCCTCCATCTCGAAGACCAAGCGACTCAATTCGTCCATTTCGGTCTGGATATCCCCCAAAACTGAGTTCCAGAGTTCTTCCCATTCCATGGCGATTTCAACTTGACCCTTGACGGTGTTCAGCGTCGCTTTAATGTTGGCCCATTCTTCAATGATAGCCTCCATTTGAGAGACTGCCCGGTGGAGGTCTGCTGGCGGAACATTGGCAATATCCTGACGACACTGCAGCTCCTCGATGGCGCTTACGTAGACTTTGATCAAATCTTCAAAGCGATGGATAGCGTTCTCGACTTCCTCCAGGCCTTCACGCCCGCCCGCGGAGGCCCACTCGACGTCATCGTCACTATCCAAGCCACCAATGACCTCGGACGCCTTGTAAATCCAACTCCTAATCTGTTCAGCTGCATTGATGAGGGCCTTCGAGGCGACCTGCGCGGTTGGAATCGCGGAAACTTTACTAGACAATGACTCGGCGTCGGGCAGTTGGAGGGAAGTGAGCTGTGCTAGCTGATTGGCGAAGGAGGCGCGGGAAAGTGTGTAGATTGAGCCGGGGCGTTGGTGGCTAGGGTTGAAATACGAGGAGAGATCGGGCGTAAACTCGGCTTGGGGGATAGGCGGCGTGTCCTTCGGGGGTGGAGGAGGAGGGACATCCGAGGAGTTTTGACGTTCGAGATGTTCTCGTCGTGTCTCGAGCTGGACCTTGGTGCCATTTCCATTGGTGTGGTCGGGCAGGCGGTACTTGTGTGTCTCCATGTCCAGCGGTTCTGTTGTTGTGATCTCGGGTAGGACGAGAGACGCGCCCGGGGCAACGTCTGCGGTGGACGGCGATGGCTCAGTATCGGGCTCTTCGGTTGAGGTTACGGATTGTGTCTTTTGTGTCTCCGAGGCCTTGTGATGTACGAGACCCTTCCAAGGGCGGCCGCGGCGATGGATAATCGAGTCGAGTGAATTCGACTTGTGGTTCTCGTCGAGTTGGCGGAGTTGATCTTCGGGAAGGCGACCGACGTTGTCTGGTTGGTTGGGAGACGAGTCTGCTGATTTCTTGTAAGAGGCCAAGCCAAGTGCTTTGAGGCGTGCAGCGAGTCCTGGCGACGGCTTGCGCGGTTGGATTGCTTTGTTCGCGTTGGGTGAGCCGGATGGTGATGATGTAGCAAGATGCGAGGATGCGGATTTGCTGCGGGTCGAGCTTGCGGGCGACTTTGTGTGATTGTTTTCGGTGTCGGCGATGGTATTGTTGTTGTTGTTTACGACATCGAATGGGGCCTGTAGTTGGAAAAGTTCGGGGCTAGAGACGTCAGAGAAGCCCAGGTCAAGGTCCGCTGTTGGAGGGGCCTGTGCCTGGTCTTGTGGGTGCTGTGGGTGCTGCAGTTGGTGGCTGGAGACGGAGTTTTTGGCGTCGGCACTGGCGGCGTCAGCGGTTGCGGTTGCAGTGGTGTTGGCGTGGGCTGCATCTGCCTCCTCTGGCGCGGAAGCTCCCTCGGCCGACATTTTATTCGTGCTTATGCCCGTGTGTTGGTTGAGTCACGAATCGTCCTTCAAGACGCCGAGCACCCTCCCCTTCGGTGCTGAACCCAAGGCGGCCGGCCCTCCGCGTGCCTCCGCAGAGACAGACGTCTCTAGGTACGGCGCAATGCTGTACGTGTCCAGCCAGGACGGCCGACAACGACTGAGCCGTTTCGTGGGTTGGCTGGGTCCGGTGGTCCTGAGCTTGAGTGATAACTGGGCCGAGGAGACTGATCCTCGCTGGGTTCGGTCGCTTGAGCTGCAGGCCGCCGAATGAGAGGGATCGAAGAGCGGCGCTGGAATGCTGGGAATGCTGGATGCCTGGGCAAGCTCGTCGAGCGCACTGTTGTCAATGCCTTAGTCGGTGGGGTCCCGGCGATTTCAGTTACAGGGTAGATGTACGACAGAAACGAGCAAAGGCGTCCGGCAACAGGGGATCTAGAGGAGCCGAAGGACGGGAATGCAGTCGTTATTGGCGGCGCAAGAGCGTGTGCGCTGCGTCGGCTGCAAGAGCTGCAAGAACGAAGACCGGGACTGGGCAACGCCAGTCGTTTGGCGCGC